GATGAGGGGCTGCCGTGACATGCTGACCCTGGTGCTGAGCCGTGGCTTTAACGTGTGACAGTAAATCTGGGGGGGGGCTCAGAGGCAGATGGCGGGAGGGGGGAGGTGAGACAGGGCTCTTACTGGTGGGACAAGGCAAGGGCAGGAGCTCCCAAACTGAGCAGAGGCCAGCAAAGCCCCCAGGGAAGGAAGAGGAGGTGGGAGAGGGGAGTTGGGTCGCTTGCACGGGGTTGGGTGATGCCTCTGCCATGACCAGGGTGCTGCTCATAGCTGAGGATCACTCCCGGTGGTCCCTCCCTGCTGCTGCACCTCTGGTCCAGACCAGAGTGCTGTGGGGTGCCTGAGCCGAGACACCTCGAGGCTTGCTCCCAACCCATTTCCAGATGAGAAGAAGCATCCCTGCTGAATGGAGCTCTCCATTTCCAGCCCTCATCTCCTCACTCCCACCCCCCTGCCCGAGCCAGAGCAGAGGGCAGAAAGGCACCAACGGCTGCAGATCCTGTTACCTGCGGCCAACAAAACCTACCTGTCCCTTCCCAGCCACACCCCCTGCCCCTCTCTGTGGGGACAGAGCAGAAGGACTCCCTGGCCCTCCCTGAGCGTCGCCGGGTCGTTGCCCGCCACGATCGAGTGACCAGATGGACGCTGGGCTCAGAGCACAGCCTCCTCTGTGGGTCCCTTGTCCCTCGCCCAGCCGGCCGGGCTTTGACGCTCTGTCCCCCCGGGGCAGCCTTTGTCAGGGCCGTGCAGAAGGGCCCCCGTGTCCCTCTGATCCGGCCCCACAGCAGCGCGTCCCTGGCCGGAGCATAAAGCTGGCTTTCAGGGAGCCAGCGTTGGGAAACTCCCGGGGAAGGAGCAAGGGAGCTTCTTGTCAAACGGGGAGACAAAGCCACCTTGTTAAGGGGTTTACAAAGGCAGCCATCTCCCCCTTGCCTGGGAAGCTCAGGACCGGCGACTCCCAACCTCACCGGGGGGATGGCTTTGCCTTGGAAGGGTGGGAACGCTTAACAGCCGTGCTGTGCCACAGCCCCGTGACCTGTGTGCAGAGCCCAGGGCACCTTCTGTGCTCCCATGAGCCGCTCGAAGCCACATCTCCAAAGGAAAATGGGAACCAGCCACTCATTGTGGGGAATCCTGTGGTTTTCCCAAGAGTGCGCCGTTGCTACCGGTGTCCCTGCTGAGGGGACGTCATCCAGGGCTAGGGAACGCCATCTGCACAGAATGATGTGATGCTGGGTAGCACGAGAGGATTTTCTGTCCCTCCTTTGGGAGAAGTGGTCTGGGGTTCCCTCCTACACACCCCACAGATGGGAGATGGAGCCCTAGGAAAGGATGTGATACGGACACAGTCCCACAGGGCACAACCACACAAGACCTCCTGGCTTCCCTCCTGCTAAATATAATGTTTTTTCCTTGCATGGACCCACTGATACATTTTTTTGTCCAACAAAATAAAAATTAAGCAAAAACCCAGCAGCCCCACAGCTGCTTTAACTCTCCAGGAATTCTCTTAAAATTCATCTACCCTCACTGTTTTTTGCAGGAAAAATCCCTGCCCCAACAAGGTTAGCACAACCTTTGGCATGACTTTTGTGGACTCTGATGGTCACTCAGCCTCTTATGGGCCCCCACCAAGCCCTTGGGCTCCCCATTTTGCAGCCCACATCTGGGGGCTCTGCACACCATGGCCGTGTCTGAGCCACCAGGATGTGCTGCCCGCACCCGTGCATTGTTCTGAGCCGTTCTTGGCAATTCCTGCTAAAATCCACATTCATATTAAACCTCACACTTGGTAATTGCCTCTGCCTTCAGAGAAACGGGAAAATGGATTATGCCATTGGCATGCAGTGGGATGTGGTAGCCAGGGATGGCTGGTCAGCTTAAAAAACCAGAACCCCTGGGCCCAGAACCCATCTGGGTGTGATGCACAAGGGGAAGGGGAAGGGAAGACCTGGCTCTGCTGCAATCCTGAGGGATGGGCAAAACAGGACAAGTTTCAGGTGGGGAGTCCCACCTAGAGGCAAGTGCGACGGCAAAGAGGCCAAATTAACAGCAAGAAACTGCCACACTTGCTCTTCCCTGTCTCCCTCCCACACGTTCAGGTGGCACTTTGGTAGTCCACATCTCTCCTGGCATCATCCTCACATCCTTCTCCTCTTCTCCTTGGGGAACTGCCACCTCTGGAGAACACATCACCTTCTCTTCTTTGACCCAGCATCTGTGAACTGCTGTGTGCTGACACCAGGGGTGCCAGCTCCTCACTGGGAAGCCCCAGCCACAGCTCTGTGCCCCATGAAGGCAGGCTGGAGGCAGCTCTCCCTCCCCAGGACAGCAGTAAATTGGAGTGCTGCAGCTTTAAAGAAGTGTGTCTGCTCCTTGGCAGGGCTGGTGGCAGCGGGGAGAGCCAGAGGACACCTGCGGAGATCCTGTACAGCTGGGGAAGATTAGCCTTTTCCACTAGACAAGACCCATTACCATGTTCCAATATACCATCACTTCCGCTAGGAGAGCCTGCAGATGAGATATCGATTGCACTGACCCCGGCCAAAGCCTGCACCAGAGCCTGGGAGGGTGGCAGAGCAGCCCCATGGCAGAACCCATGGTGCAAAGAGGGGCTGCACTTTCCCAAAGGCATCCCCAGGGACCCAAGGGTGGCAAGGGGCTGCCTCAGAGCTGCAGTGATGGGTGATGCTGTGGGGAGATGTACAGAAGAGCTTCAAAGCCCAGAAGTGACCCAGGTCCTTTCCCAAGGTCACTCTGGGCTCTTTCCAGTGCAGCTCTGCCCTGGGGATGGGGAGCCCCCAGCCCATCTTCACTGCCCTCAGAGCCAGGTGGGTGTTATAGAAATAAGCTTTTCACCTTGAAAGGCCAAAATATTCCCCCAAAAACATCTCTGCTGGGGAGTTCCAGCTGGTTCAAGAGGTGCTCACAGGGTGCTCCTCATCCACTGCTTTTCCTTCCTGGCACTCCCACTCCCTGAAATACCTCCTTGAGACACAGCAAGGGTGGAAGGACACTGTTAAACCACCAGATCTTGGGAACTGGAAGGGCTGATGGCAATTAAGGTAGCAAGGTAATTAAGTGATGCCTGTCTCGCAGCATCCTATCACTGCAGCCCCAACAGGAAGCACAGGCACTTTGGAGGGTGTCTTCTATCCTTTGAACCCATGATTTCTGAGAGTTTTTCTACTTCTCCAAGATTCACACTGGGCTTGACTTGGCTTTTTGAATGCACTGAGCTCTGCCTTACCAGCACAATCCACTTGCAGCCCAGTTGGAAGCAGCAGCTGGAAGCTGACATGTGATACTCCTCCAGGGCTGATGTGTCATGTCCATGTGCCTCTGAGAGCATCCCTGTGCTTCCCCAGGAGCTGGAGCTGCCATGGTAGAGCATTCCCCTGAGCCAAAAACCTCACTGGACACTCCAGTGGGTGCAGAGAGACAGGATCCCCTCAGATCTGGGCTCTGGTGTGAGTGCTGGAGGATATTCCAGGACTGGGAGTTAAATGGCTTTTTCCAGGTGATGATTTAAGCACCCAGCTGGCTCCATGAGCCCTCACGGAGCTTTTCCAACATTTCTCAAGCTTTGGAGCACAAGAAGCTTCTGCTGAGGTGCTTGGTTTTGTTGCTGTTTTGTTTGGGTTTCCTTCCCCAAATAAAAGACATCAGCTCCCCATTGCACCGAGTCATTCCAAACTCCACTTTTCCAATGAGATGCTCTACCATAGTCAAGGATGGGCATGGAAGGGAACTCACACAGTTTCCAGGGCTACTCCCTGTCCCGTGGGCCAAGCACAGCATCCATCCCTGGTGTGTGGAAGGGAAGCAGCTCTGTTCCCGTGGTTTTGTGGATGATTCCTGGGGTGAGGTTCCAAACCCTTCCCCCACCTGAGAACGGGCTGCTGTGGGATGAAAAGGGCAGGCTCAACACTGGGCACCCAGCCAGGGTGGCTGGTCAACACAGCCTGCTGGCCACCAGCCCCACTGGGGCTTAAGCAGGACCCCTGCTCTTGCAGCATGGACTTGCTGCTGAAAGCAGAGGGATTAAGGGAATGGGGCGGCCCTGCAGAGCATCCCCACCTCCCCAGAGCCCACAGGGGTTGGACAGGCTCCACCAGCCCAAAAAACCATTTCTCTCCCCTCGCCTGACAGCCCTCTGCTGCTTTCTCCTCCCAAGATGGTCGCTGCCAGTAATAGCAGGGAAATTCACATCCAAGCTGGGAAAATAACATGTTATTTTCCCAGCTGTGATGTCAGAGCTTGTCACACTTGCTGGCTTGGCAGCAGGGTGGGCAGGGCACGCTTGGACGTCCCCAAATGGCCACTTGGCCTGACTGTCCTGTAGGGGCTACTAAAATGTGCCCTTTTTGGTGGCAGCTCTGCTTTTGCTCCCCAAACTCATTGGGAAGCAGCACATTCCTGCTGCTGGGATGGGGCTGCCCGGCTCCCTGCTGGGTACCACAGCAAGCGCCGTGGTTGGTGCACCCCATTTCCGGGGCGCTTTTTTGGGGCCCCCCGGGTTGGGACATCCCAACCCATGTCCTTCCCCGGCCTCGGAGGGTTTGCACAGGAAATCCAGTGCTTTCCTCTTTCCTTTCCCTCTGCTTCCAGCACAGCTCCAGGCTTCCCTCGCCGAGCCATCCCTGCCTCGCAGCCAGGCGTGCAGCCTGAGCACCGGGAGCACAGGGAGCTCCAGGCACTCCTCCAGGCTCCCTGGGAGAGGGATGCACTGCCCAGCCCGGGGCGAGCACTCCTTTCCTCCTCATCCCCATCAGAGGCTATTCCCTGCATTTTTGGCTTTCCCGAGCCTGCTCTTTAAAACTCACCAAACCCAGCAGAAAGGATGGAGCCCCGTGGACCCTGAACCACCCAGCTCACCCCTGCTCCCCACCGGGTACCACAGCCCCCCACGTCCTTCGCAGCCATTGATCCATCACCAACTTCCCAAAGCCGGGCTGGGGGATGCGCTGGGCCAGAGGAGCAAACAAACGAGGCAGGAATAAATCCCGGCTCTCGGTGCCGGACCCACGCGTGGCTGGGGGTTTATTTCTTTCCCCACTTCTCCTCCGATGGATAAACCTCTTTTTTCCCCCCCCACCCCGCGATTGCATTTCACTTGCAGCCCCGTAACAAAGCCGTCACCTCCGCCGCTCCAGGGAGACGAGTTACAATTACAAATTGCCACCACAATTAGCGCTACTTCTTAGAGGAATTAGAAAGGGGAGCGGGAGGCTCGCGTGCGATTGATTGCTATTCATCCTGCTTTACGGTGACCTTGCTCTGGAGACGATGATATTCCTTCAGCCTGGAAACCGGGAGTTGGAAAAAAAAAAATTAATTGTAAATTAACAGTAAGAACACACATTTCCTTTCAATTAATTTAAGCAGAATGAGGGGGCGTGAAGAGCAGGCGTTTGTTAAGGCCTGTACAGTTTAATTATTTTTTTTTCCCCCCCCACGAGATAATGTAATTAATCTTAGAGGAGTCGGGGGGACACGGAGGATCGGGGGGAACAAAGCAGTTAACAGGCAACAGGAAAAATTAAGAGCCCATTATGTAAATGCGGCATGTTTTACAGCCCTGGAGTTGGGAGGGGTCTGAGAAATAAGTAAAATTACGAGGCTGGCTGTGCTGGGGAAGGCTGCAATTAAGCAGGGTTGGTACTGGCAGGGCTGGTGGCACCCCACTGCTCATGGGGAGCTTGCAAAGGGGGCTTGGTTCACCCCCAGAGCCTGAGTGAGGACAGGGGAGAGCCCCGGGGTGCCGGGGGCTTTTCCCCCATGGGGGAGGGTCCCACTGCACCCCAGTGACCTGAGGGAGTTGATGTTGATGAAGCCGGTGGCGTCGGCGGGCTCGTAGTCCCCTTGCACGTTCATGCTGTGGAGAGAAAGGCACTGTCACTGCCATGGGATTCCCGGGGGGATCGGGGCTGCCCTTTGGGAAGGAACCCCACACCTGGCTGCTCTCCCCTGCTGCCGCCCCCTCATCCACTGGAGGCTGCGGGGGGCTCGGGTCAGCTCCCTGCCAGCCCCTGGGGAAGGGGCTCAGCCATGCCCAGGCTCCACAGGCCCTGCCAGAGACGCAGCCCCAAAATTCCCTCCTTGGTCTCTCACGTGCATCATCACCCTTCCTCTGCTCTGGCACCGCCCAGGGATGCTCACCCTGTCCCAGAGCAATCCTACAGGTATGGCTCTAGAAAAGGGATGGGATGCTGGGCAGGAAACACTGCCCCAGGCACAAACAGGACTCCAGGCAGGGACAGCCCCACACTGGTGTGGGGGTTTATGGACCTGGCAGCCAATTCCTCAGTGCAACACTGAGTACATCCCCTTTCCCAAGGCAGCAGCCACCCACTGAATCCCAGCTCCAACAGTTTCCTACATCTCCAAAACACACGGCTCATTTCCCAAAAATCACAAACCTTAAAGGAGGAAGTGGAGGGAAATAAAGAAGAAAAAAATAAAAAAGAGTTTACAACGATTTTACCTCCCCTGACGGGCTACAGAAAAACCTCTGTGCTTTTATTTTTGCTCATTCGAGTGGTTCTGACCTGCTCTATAATTACGTTACTTTCTACCTACTGTGCAGAGGCATTTCCACACAGCTCTGCCTCTCACAGCTTTCTCTCGGGTTCCTGTGACGCCGTCACTCAAAGGCTTTCAAACCAGCGATGTAGAAATCAAAAAGAAAAGGAAAATGGTTGGAGACGCAGGGAGAATAAGTGCCCCTGCTTTTCTCTCCTTCTCTCTTTTTCCTCTGTCCCACCCCCCTCCATCCTCCTTTTTTTTCTTCCCTCTTTTTTTTTTCTTTTTTTTTTTTTTTTTTTTTTTTTTTTTTTTTTTTCTCTCCAAGTGAGAGTGCAAAGCATAATGAAGGGTTGGGACGGATTATTAGGAGCTGTTGATTTTGAGGGGGAGGGAAGGGGGGAAAAAAAGCCAGAGAAGAGAAAGAGAGAAGATAATTTGACTCCGACTGATCTAAACTCATTCGGGTGTATTTATGGCTTATAAAGTGTTTAGAGAGATTGAAAGGAGTTGAGGGAGGGCTGAGGGGGGAAGCGAGCAAGCGAGAAAACAACACGAAGAAAAAGGGAAAAGCCAGAGGGGGGAAAAGCCAATATTGACTTGAAAACATGGCTCATGCTTCGGCCGGATGCTGGGCTGGGGCCTTGGTGTCACCTGTGCCACTGGGGATGGGATGGGATGGGATGGGATGGGATGGGATGGGATGGGATGGGATGGGATGGGATGGGATGGGATGGGATGGGATGGGATGGGATGGGATGCTCACTGTCACCACTCCTGCCCACCCTTGCCCTCCCCAGCCCCACTCACCTCACCAGCTCCTCGTTGTAGAGCGACCGTGGGGACTCCCTGCCCAGGATGTAGACCTGGCCCTTGAAGACCGACAGGCGCACGGTGCCCACCACGGGCTCCTGCGAGCGCCCGATGCACTCCCGCAGGAACTCGCACTCAGGGCTGTGCCAGAAGCCTGAGGACAGGAGATGGATCAGCAAAGGGCTTGGGGAAACCCAATGGGGCCTGGGACCCCAGGTTGCACCCCAGGCTAAGTCTTACAAGGCAGATCCTGGGTAATTCCCACGGGAAGGGATGAAATCGCAGGACTGGGTGAGGAAATGAGATGCCGGGACACACAGGTTGAGCCACGAGGGATGGAGACCTCAGGTGTTTCCCTTCTCCCCGGTGGCCCTCAGGATGGGAGAAGAGGATGGAACAAACTAGAACTAGGCCACGGGGCCATCCTTATTCCAGCTCTGCTGGGCAGGGGTCATCATGCAAATGAAGAGATTTTTTAAGTAGGTATGAAATGGCCACTCAAAACTCACCATGTGGGAAGGCCAGGTGGAGACAGACAGATGGACACAGAAATGGGGGGGAACAGCTCCCAGTCCTCCAAGAAAGGGATGAGCCATTCTCCCCTGGGATGGGCAAAGTAGGAGTCTGCCCCAGAGGGCCAACCCCAGCCTGTGGATTGTGCCCAGGGGGATGCAGCCCCACAGGAATGCTTCAGCCCTCAGCAATGGGGGTCCCAGTGGGGCAGTCACCCCAGCAGTTCCCATTCCCCATCCCAGAGGGGTGCAGAGCAGTGCTCCCCCCAGCTCACACAGCCTGGGCTGTGCTTTGGGGCACAGGTGTTTCGGCAGCCCCAGGTGGGCTCTCCACCTTCCCATCCCCCCCAAAGCCAGCGAGGCTCAGTTGTCCCTGCTGCCACTCGTGGGAAAGTTTGACTTGTTCCCACTGTGGTCCCAGCACGAGGAGCTGGTGGGACACAGGGAAGCAGTGCTGGCACCCCAGAGAACTCTAACCCCAGCCAGCATGGCCCTGCCCTGGCTCCAATGGGGACAGCAACCTCTGGCAAGCCAAATGCCCTGAGCCAAAGCCCAGGCTGGGTGCTGGGGTGATGTGCAGTCACACCCCGACCCCCCAAAACACATCCTGGGGGAGTGACTGGGGCACTGCAGGTGCATGGAGGGGCCGTGCCCTGCCTGCCACCCCCACGCCCCTCCTGTCCCTAAGCGGGGTTATCAGCCAGGGAGTCCTCGGAGACCCAGAATAAAGCCTGGGAGATGCAGAAGGAGATAGAGGTGGGGAAAGAAAGAGCCCATTCACCGCCCCCCAGTCATGCCCCAGTTTTATCTCTCCCATCTCACACCGGTGCCCTCTCACCTTTCCCTTCCCAGCTGGGCTCTGGGGCCGAAGCCATTAAAGAAACAAATAATTTCTTTTGTTGTTTGGCCTCACCAGCCCCCGAGCAGGGCCGTATCCTGCAGCCTTGTCCCCGGGGTCTGTGTGGTCCTGCTCCAAGGCACAGCACCATGGTCCCGCAGCCCCTCACCACCAAACCCACCTCCCTGAACTGACCCCCTCAGCTGCTCCACCCTGGCATGGCCAGGGGGGTTTGGGGACCCCTTTCCCAAAATCAGCACTTCCATGCCAGTAGCAACCCTGGCTCCAGGCAAATACACTCCTTTTTTTGGTACCCACCCTCCAAGTACAACTCTTCAAATAGCAGGATTGATATAAAAATCCCTGTAAAAATAAACCCCAGATGCACTAAAATAATAACCAGCTGCTTAAATCCTGCCTCTGACAGCTCCAGGTGGGAGGAAGCATCCCCCCCTCCCGACCCCCCACTGCAGACACTGGAAGCGATCCCCCTTAATGACCTCCCCACCATCCTGCCCTAATCACGGCGCAGGCAGGGGGACAATGGCATTTCCGCACCTGGAAAGGACGGGAACTGGCTTCAAAGCCACCCCTCCACAATGGGATCAATAGGAACAGGGGGAAGATAAACACTGATTCTCCTAAAAACAGGACTAGCTGCAATAATGAGGTGTTAAGGGAAGGTGAGCTTGAAAGCCTGGCCTCTGGGGACCCACGGGTGCTTATTGCACCCTGCTGGGCTTGGATTTGGCTGGCAGGGAAGTCTAGGACCAAGCTGGGAATCCCTGGGGATTGGACATGTGGAGCCAGGGAAACATCAGCCTCTGCCTGGCAGATGTGGAGAGGGAGAATTTAAACTATGATTCCCTCCGAGTGGCTTTTTAACCTGGTGGCTGCACAACAAGTGAGTGGTTAGGAATAAACAAACAAACAGGTTTATGCCTGAACCACCGAAAAATAATAGTCAAAAGAAAGGCAGGCCAGGTCAAAACCTAATAAAAATGGCCAGAGGCAAGAGTGGCACTGGAGAATGAATGAGGGCAGGGGCTGTGATCCAAGAGGAAGGTGAAAAAGGTTTCCCAGCCCTAAAATGTGATTTAAACAGCGAAGGGGCTCAGGCATTAAATGCCAGTTCCTGAGAAAGATTGAAGAGCAAATGTCCTTGGAGGGGAAGGTGACAAGCACCGGCACCAGAAACCGCAGGGGACAAAAGCCTGGCCCAGTCCTGGTCTGCTGCTGCCCATGGCCTGAGCTCCCAGGATCAGGTTCTTTCCAGGCTATCATCCCATGGAAGACCCCACCGGAATCACCCCGGCCCTTGTGCTTAAACACCTGAAGTGATGGGAGGAGGAGCTGGGAGGCTGAGAAATCAGGGCCTGTAAATGACAAATGTTTGGCCATGGAGAATCTCCTGGGCCTGCAGGGGTGACAGCTCTGAGCCGAGCACCCAGCTGTGGGCAGTGGGGTTTTTGAGCCTGCTTAGGGCATTTTGGGCTAATCCTTCTTCCTCCAGCTTAGCACCAGACACTGGGTTGGGGTGGGTCCATGGGGCAGCCCCCAGGGCAGTGCTGGTTCTCCTGCTCCTGAGGCACAGGGGAAACGCTGAGCTGCGACCCCTCAAACTCATCCCAGGTCTGGGGCTGCGGCTGCTCCACAGCAGGAAGGACACAGGGCTTCACTGCTGTCCTCCACTGCTGGGGTGAGCCACCATCCCCTCATTCCTCATGGCTCCCAGCCCTCTCCAGGCAGCGCTGTCCTGTCCCAGGAGCCCCAACCCGCAGTGCCCCTGTGTGGGCTGTGCACCACATAGCACAGCCAGGACCCTGCATCCCTCCAGAGTCCCCTGTGCCACGCTGCCAGGGCCCAGGGACAGCTCTCCGGCTTCAAATGCCATGGCAGGGGTTGAAGTTTAAAGTTTTGGGTGCCCCACATCCCAGTGTGCATGAGGCAAAGGCAGGGTGGAAGGGGTTGGAGGTGAGGGTTGGGGAAAGGTGACACGAGAAGGGGCAAAAGGATGAATTACATCCAAATGTGCTGGTTGGGATGGAGTGGTGGCACTGGGCTGGGAGAGATGCCATGAGCAAACCCTAATGGAATATGGCATTGCCTCCCAAAGGCAGGCACGGAGCTCCCTGGGCAGGAAAGCAGGCACAATGTGGGGTTTTGCTCAGCCCAAACCCACCTTTCTCCCCAGGAGCAGCCTCAAAACCCACACTTCTATTTTACAACCAATGGGACCTGCAATTTCCAGCAGCAAGCAGGGAGGATGAGGAGGAAGGCTGGGAGGATGCTGCTGTGGCAGGACTGGACTGCACCTACCGTTGTACACCAGCTCTGAGAATTTCAAGGAGAGTCCCTGCTTGATTTTCCTCACTTCCCGGTCCATGGTGAAGGCCTCGATATCTAAATGTGCATGGTATAGGATCGTTCCTGCTGGGGTCTCATAGATACCTAGCCATTTTTCCAGGCAGGGGGAAAAGCAGAAAAAGAGAGAGAAACGAATGAGACCAAAACTGTCAGCAAATGACAAAAAATAATGACTTGGCTGACAGAAGGAGCTGTGGTCGAGCACATTCAGTCTCAGCTCGCTGTAAAATGCATCTGTCATTATATTCATGCTGGGGCCGAGACAGTCCACTCCGCACCTTGCGGAGAAAATTTCTAGATTCCCCTCTTTGAAGAGGCACTCTGACGAGGCTAAATGACAGGGTTTGGGAACCGATCCCCCCACCCATCCGTGCCCAACGGTCTGCAGCTGAAAACCTGTAATTAGCAGAACGAGCGGGGCACAGGCATGGGGAGCGCAGGGCCTGCAGAGCCCTCCTCTCCTCCGCTGGGAGGCAATGAGGCTACCCAGGGGCTGGGAGGGCAACTCCTTCGGGGTTGGCAGGGCCCCCCCAGTCCCTTCCTGCTGCCCCTCCATTGCACAAGGCCCGGGGATGGAGGATGCTTAATTATTTTGGCAAGCTGCTCCTTTGTTCTAGCTGTTCAAGGCTTGTTTTGTGCATGGTGTGGTTACTTGGTGTTTAAATACGAGTATGGCTGTGTGGTTCTCCCATCCACGGTGGATGCAGGTGGAAATATTGTGGGGAAATGCTGAGCTGGTCTGGCAGTGAATAGGTGATGGGAAAGGCTGTGAGCTGCCCACGGCCAGGGCTGCTCCACCAGCTTGTCTCTATCCCCTGCCTGCCTGCAGGGATGGTCCCTTTCCAATGCTGGCATCTGCTGTGCTGCAGTCGTGGGAATGGCAAAGGGCACAAAGCAACCCTGTAGGAAATTGTCTCCACTGAAGGGGATGTGTCCCCAGCCAGCCCAAGAGAGGCTGAGGGGAGCCCACAGGGCTCAGAACTTCCCCAGGCTCTGCTCTCAGTGCCCTGGGGAGTGGCACAGGCTCAGCATGTCCTGTGCCAGTGTGGCCACAGTACCACAGACACAACAGGAGCCACAGGCACAGCAGCCCAAGGCTCTTCCATCAGACCTCATCCCAAGCACTGCCCACGATTTCAGCATCCTAGAGGCACAGACCACAGTCCGACTGTCCCAAAGGAGAGCCAACCCCTCCTCTCCAGCCACCCCAGTCCCTGGGGCAGCTCAGGTGTTCATCAAACACCCATTCCCTCGGGGTGTGGGAGCAGACAGCCAAGTTAACACCAAACCCCAGTTGTCCCCATGGGCACAGCAGTGACACAGGGCACAGGGAGCTGCTCTGCATCCCCTCCGGCCCCTGACTGTGGAGCTGAGCCCACAACTAACACAATTATTATAATTACAATTAATATAATTAATGTTCCCTCTCCTTCCCCTTAGGAGATGTTAAAGCCAGTTTGGGATGAAGGTTTGGGTACATGCCTTGACCCCCACCTCCTGCTCATTTTGGGGGTGCTGGGAGACAGGACCAGAGCGTGTCAGCTGGGGCAGAGGGGAGGGCAGCTGACAGCCACTCTCCAGCCTCGCCACTGCCGAGGAGACAAGAGACACCTTCAAAGTGACACTTGCACAATCTCCAAGTGTCTATTTTCCTCTCCCCATGTTTACAGGAAAAAGACAGAGGTGTCAGCACTGCAGCCCAACGATGCTTCAATCACCCCGTAATTACTGCTAAGGAAGGGGGGACCGGAGCAGGGGGGACATGGAGGGAGGCAGTGAAGGAGACAGCTGCTGCTACTTAAAATTTTCTAATTTGTAACCTCGGCTGTCACTTCACCTCCATCCGAGCAATTCTGCTGCGATGAGTGCCGGCTGTCACTCCACGGGACAGGGAGGGATGTGGTGCCTTCCCGAGAGGAAGGGCAGGGTGATGCTGTGCCCACGGGAAAATGCTGCCCAAATTTCTTCCCCTGGTCAGGGGCTGAGGCTGGGCTATGAGGTCGAGTTTGGCCTGGTATGCAGGGAAGGCGTTTTCCACTTTCCTCCTCCATCAGCTCAGCGCATCCAGAGGAGGAAAGGGAAAAAGGAGGAGAGAGCCAAGGGGAGGAAAAGCGCTCGGCTTTTGGCAGTGGCTGTCCCCCTCCTTCCCTCTTCCTCCCCACTGATTTCATTTACTTCACTTGATTAGCCCCCCTTCGGAGTTAAAAAGATAATTTGATAATGAGGATGTGAAGGGGAGGGGGAGGTAGGGCCGTGCCCCTGCTGCAGCCGCAGCCCCCGGCCCAGCCGTGCCCCCCGAGCGGTGCCAGCGGCGCTCCCTGGCACCCTGTCATTAGCCACCCTCCTCCCACTAAAACAAAAACCGAGTTAATTGGGCTTAAAAGGCTGGTGCGAGTGCGTTCCCTGCGCCCCTCGCCCATTAGGCCTTAACGAAGGCCAATTAGGGGCTTAGTAAAAATCAATGCAAATGAATTTTTCCTCTTCTCTGACTTCCTGGGACTGGGAGATGAGGAAGAGGAGGCGCCTTCGCTGCCACCACCACCACCACAGGGAAGGCTCTGGCCATGCTGCTGCCTGTGCCTCAGTTTCCCCTGCAGAACCCCAAATCTGCAGGGCAACCACGTACTGCTGGGGTTTAAAGGATTGTCTCTTCCAAGATCCTGTGGGTCTCAGATTCAGTCAAAGAAAGAAATGGAGAGTTTCTAGCCAGGCAAAAAGCCTGGGAAAGAATGTAAATAATTCTTTATCTCTTTGTTTTTCACATTGTTTATAGTTAAGTTCTATCACTGTGCGTCAAGCACTCTGCACCAATGCTGTAGGTTGTTTTCACTTCAGAACCAATGGATTTGATCCTTGCGAAGCTCTGTATAAAAGAGCAGTGCATTTTGAATAAATCGGAGTTTTACTCTCACAGCCTTCCGAGTCAGAGTCTCTTCATTCCTGTCCTGCCTCAACAGCGACAAGCTCACATCTCCAGCACCACTGATCCTAAATTTGGGGTCCAAAATGCTCCAGGCAGTGGGGGGGTCACCCTGAGTTCCAAAGGCCTGGGAGGGAGCAGGTAACCACAGCACCCTCCTGTCCTGGCCTGCTCCCATCCCAGCTCTCCCTCTCTCCTGCAGCACATCCCATAGAGCAGATTTCTGGGGGGTTTCTCTTAATCCCAAAAAGCCAACCAGGGGCAGGATCCTGCTCAAAGCAAGGGGAGAGGCCACCCCAAGGTCTCATCCCCGCGGGGAGCCACCCCAAGGTCTCATCCCCGCAGTGCTGCCCCAGACCCCCCGGGCCTGCGGCATGGGAGCACGGCAGCGATCGCTCGGCGATGTCACGCAGGAGACAGATGTGACAGTTAAATGGGGTTTAGAGAAATTATTAAATGCTGGAAGGGTCACCAGAGCGTGTCAGCGGCTCTTAAAAAAATAAAATAGATTTTGACAAATTACTCAGCATCCTGCATGCAAATGCACAGGCTGGCGTGTGCAGGTTGGGGTTTGGTTTTTTCCTTCCTTTTTTCAGCTTTAATATGATTATTCAAACTCAGATCAAATGATTTGGGGTTTTGTTTCTTGCCCTGTGGTGGGAAGGAACACTGCAGGCTTAGTCTTACCAAAATATTTACTGTTGTCGTGCACAGAGGGCAAGTTTATAGAAAGGAAGCATCTAATAAAGTATTAACGAGATTCAAAACAAAAGAGCTGGAGTTGGGATATGATGCTGAGCCACCTCCTACTTAGTTTTGCACAGGGCAGCTTGCTGCCTCCAGAGGTTTCCAATGAAATTGATCACAATGGAATATCAATACTAGGAGACATGGACTCAAAAATACGTGGATAAATCAAACATTTGCTTTAAAAAAAAACCAAGCAACAAAACAAAACAGTAATTTGCATCAGCTTCCTATGGTTCGTACAGGTATTGGAGAGTCTGGCACTGTCCAGGACTTTCCATGAGCATATCCCCACACAAGCCCAGAGGCTGGTGTGTTTGCTGTGGGGACAGGTCTCACCTGGAGGCACTGGGACCCCCGGGCTGGTGCCTGTTGCTATCATGCTGGCATGGTAGTGTGGAGGAAGTGTTTTAGAAAGGCCTTGGGAATGGGAAACTGAGGAAAAGATACATTTCTGTATGCCCCATTGTTTTGGGAAAGTTTAGCTTCAGCATTTCTCTGTGAACCTCCTTCTCCCCACCCCTGAGCAGTTCCCATTGGACCTGGCCCCTGGGGTGGTTCTGATGTGCCCGGGCTGGACACTGTCTCTATTGTTTAGACCTTATCTCTTAATTTTGCTGTATAAAACTGTATCTGGGCAGTAGCCCAGCATCTTTGGTCCCTGCAACCATTCAGGCAATACAATCTCTCTGGACTGCACACAATTGACCTCTCTTCGTCTCTTTATCTCGATCCCTTGCGGCGACCGAGGCACGTTGCCGCCTCTCGGACCGTGCCAACCCAGACGCTGCCTGGTAAGCCCAGGGCAGCAGGACCATGGCAAAACCCCAGTCCCCAGAGGGGACAGCTAGCCAGAGGGGTCCTGGGGGGCCAGGGAGGGACGGGGGACAGCCACAAGTGACCCCCGAGAGCCGCAAGTGGCGCCCAACGTGGGGCTCGAACCCACGACCCCGAGATTGAGCCTGGCACTGTCCAGGACTTTCCATGAGCGTATCCCCACACAAGCCCAGAGGCTGGTGTGTTTGCCATGGGGACAGGTCTCACCTGGAGGCACTGGGACCCCCGGGCTGGCGCCAGCAGTGGCAGCTGCTGTATTAGAGAGTGACAAGGAGTCCCTGTCACGGGGACATCTCTGCCAAAAGCTGATGGGGATTTAAAGGCTGAGGGCTGCTGGTGTGACCTGAACCAAAGCACCCCAGGATTACTGAGCACCCACCATGGTTTTCCCATTTTTTCTGTCTTTTCAGGGCAGGCTCACCTCTGGACTTCATCCCAATGAAGCGGTTCTCCACGATGTCGATGCGCCCAACCCCGTGCTTGCCCCTGTGAGGAGAAGGGAGGTTGCAGCAGTCCCAGCCCCACAGTGGGACACAGGTGGGTCAGAGGGGTGGACAATGGGGAAAAACCCCAAATGACAGCAGGCCAGCCTCTGGGCAGCACTGCTGACCATCAGCAGGGACCCTAGATAAGGCAGGTGACAAGGAAATGAATTTTTCTCCCCACCAGTCTCTCACTTGTCACTGGGGCCACCAGTACTGCAGGCAGCCGTGGCACTTAGGCCACTGGAAAAGAAACTGGGCAAGGAGATGGGACATGGCATAGCTGTATTCCCAAAAGCACTTTTAAAACCACTTATTAACCATTTAAAAAGTGAACAAAGTGGAAAAGTTCATTCCCATCACTACCAGGAGAATAAAGGCACAGAGACTGGGTGGCACTTAGGAGGAGTGGGTGTCCTCATGGGTGCTGCTGTATTTTTAGGAAGACTCCTGAGGATGGTTCTCAGCCAGCAGCAGCAGAAATCAGGCATGGGGTGGCAAATGGAAAGAAAACACCAAAGGAGCTGCTGCTGTGGAGACAGGAATAGAAAAGGGCAATGAACCTGGCCAGCAGGTCTCCATGCCCCAAAAAAGTCAACTCTCCACACAAAAATGACACTGAGCCCTCTCAGGGAGACAGGGCAAGGCAAGAAGTGGGAGCAGAGGGTCCAGGATTGAGCTGGGACAAGAAGTAAAGGGTGCTCTGCAGTGGGTAGAGCAGCTGGGCACAGAGAGAGCCCAGTGAACGTTCAGAGAACTTTTTAATCCTCCTCACACCCAGTGAGGAAAGCCCTGAGGCATTTCTACACTTGTGCTCCTGGCCTTGGTGCCCAGCTCTGCTTGCTGGCATTTATGGCACAACTGGCACCATCCCAGGACGTGTCTGCTGTGAGCATCCTGCTCCCAGCCCAGCTGGGTACCCTGGGGACGCTGCCCTCGTCCCCTCTGCCAGCCGGACAGGGTGGCACTCACGCGATGTCGTTTAGGTACACAAAGAGCTCCAGGGCTGAGGAACGAGTGGCTCCATCCCCAGTGTTGGTGACTTTCACTGGGACACCTGCAGAGGCGGGGAGAGAGGATGGGCAGGATCAGCCAGTGTCAGGATCCCCCCGGAACATCATCCCGTGGGCGTTAAATAGATGTGACAGATATGAACTCTAAATAACTTCTTAAAAAGGCATATCCAAGCTGGTGCGAGGGGGAGGTGAGGGGAGGGGGACCCACCTCGGGAGAGGAGCGAAATAAATAAATAAAAAAGGCCATAAAAACGTCACCCCCCCTTTTCCTCTCTCTCCTCCCTCTCTTTTTTTTTAGGGCCTGTGAAATTGCAACCAGGCCCTTAACTAATTGAATTTCACGCTCCGCAATTGTCTTACAGCGCAGCACCTTCTGTCCCACCAGCCCTTGCTGGGGAGGGGGGGACAGAGTGACAAATGCGTGTCCCCCCTCGCCAGCATGGGGGGTGTCTGTGGGGGACCCCCACACCGGGGCACGGCTGCTCGCACACGCACGCACACGCACCCCGCGGCGGGGTGCTCCCCGCCATGAATTAATTATTGCACCTTTTCTTTTTTTTCCCACCCCCTTAATTTTTTTTTTTTTTTTTTTTTTTTTTTAAGGGCAGCGGGCAGGAGCAAAGCAGAGCGGGGTGGTGGTGGTGGTGGTGGAGGGTGAAGGGGGGGGGATGCTGAATAGAAAGAGGCATTTTTCTTTAGCGGTGTGAAATGAGCAATAAATGTATTAGGAAGCTGACAAGGGGGCTGCGGAGCCCACAAAGAAAAGCGGTGCGGAGTTGGAGGCTAATCCCCCCTCCATCTGCCCTCCTCATTACCATTTAACGCACTATCAGTTGCCAATCAGCCTCAAAGCCTCCCTTTCTAGTCTTTATTATATAGGCGCCCGCGAGAGCCCTGTCTAGTGACGGGGGCTGTCAGCTCCCCCCCACTGCCCCCCCCTTAAACCCTCTCTTTTCCAGGGGTTTATAAACTCAGTTGTAAATTGCTATTAAATGTAAACTCGCGGCAATAATGAACCTTAAGCTGCTTCTCGGCGTGGGCCCCCCCACCCCGCGCCCTCCCCTCGCCCCGGCTCTTTCTCTCCGCATCCTCCGCCGGGATATTGGCCGGGGTCCGCTCGGCGAAGAGCCGACGTTGTCGGGGCTGTTGTTGCCGAAAGCTGCTTAGCCTTTGAAATAGTTAATAATTAGATTAAAACTTCAAATAAATTAACTAGGGGCTGAATGGGCTGCCGGGAGGGGGGCTGCTCCTGCCAGGGGGATCATTATAATGGAGCAGGGAGGCTGGCGGTGGGGAGGGGGTGTCCCCTCCCAGCAGGGTCTCCCCCCAGCCTGTGCTGGGCTCAACACTGCTGCCAGGACGGATGGTGGCACGGGGATGGCTGTGGCTGGCACAGGTGGAGATGCTGCCCAGTGTCCCCTGCTCAGTGCTGGCTCTGGGGCTGGGCCTTGCTGTGTGTCCCCAGGGATGCCACGGAGCATCCCTGTGTCCTTCATGAGAGCATCCCCAGCCAAACCCTGCTGAGCGGCTCCCCAGCTGCTACCTTGGCCAGCATCTCCTGCATCCCCCAGAGCCACCTGCAGGAGGGGGAACTCTGTGCCCACTGCACCTTGATGGCAGGTGAGGGAGCTCAGGCAACTTTCCACTCCCTGAAAGCCCCCGAGATCTAAGCAGAGCCTCTGCACACCTCAGAGAGCCCTGGTGTGCTCTGAGCACCATCCTCAGCCCCAGTGGCACAAGTCAGGGCCCACCCTTCTGCCCCCGCCCTGGGGGTGCTCCCAGCTGCCAGAAAAGTCCAGTCCTGGCTGGGAAGTGGTGCTCGTGTGGGGGGCCCAGGGCCACTGGCCTGGCAGCAAGGAGGCTCTTACCCCGCTCAAACTGGATCTCCAGCACATCTGGGGTGTCGGGAGAGTTGGCTGGGTCACAGGTCTTGGTGTAGAGCCCGGGAGGAGCCTGGTTCTGCAGGGAGAGGGAGAGAAGAGGGGCACTCAGTGGCATTGCCATGGCCAACACTGCTGGCAGCCACACCCCTGGAGTGCATCCCCCATCCCAAAGCACATCCCCCTCCCAGGGGTGCATCCCAAAAGCACATCCCCCTCTCTGGGGTGCATCCCAAAAGCACATCCCCCTCTCTGGGGTGCATCCCCCATCCCAAATCACATTCCCCTCCCAGGGATGCATTCCTCATCCCAAAGCACATCCCCTTCCCAGGGGTGCATCCCCCATCCCAAAGCACATCCCCCTCCCAGGGGTGCATCCCAAATCACATCTCCCTCCCAGAGGTGCATCCCCCATCCCAAATCACATCCCCCTCCCAGGGGTGCATCCCAAATCACATCTCCCTCCCAGGGGTCCATCCCCCATCCCAAAAGCACATCCCCCTCCCAGGGGTGCATCCCCCATCCCAAAGCGCAGGACCAACACGGCACAAACACCGGCGCTTACCGGGGGCCCCGGGAACAAAGGGGTTGGCAGAATCAGCCAATTTTTCCCCTCAACTTGATCTCATCTTTCCCTCCAACGCCCCCCCAGCTGGAGGCGGGATGGCTGAGGAGCAGCAAGTCAGGCAGGGAAAAGCGGGACGCTGGCAGCGAGCGGCGGGGCGGGCGGGCGCCCGCACGTCCCCGCACCGCGGCCGGGCTTATTCGGCGCTGACCGAAAAAACTAATGAGGAAACCTGACCCCAGCAGGTGCTCCCGGCACACCGGCTCTTTCATGGTGTCCCCGGGGTTAATACACACGGGGGAAAATAGAGCAGCAAAGCAAAAACCCATTTCAGAGCACATCAACCTTTATGTATATTTTTTTTTTTCCCTGAGATTTATAGGGAAGAGGCATCTTATCTCCATCAGAGCCGGGCCAGCAGAGGCTCGGGTGCCGATGGTGAATTGCTGCAATTGAAGTGCGTGCCAGAAGAAGCGGGAGGGGCGGGAAATGTAATATAAAAAAGCTTTCCGTCCCGGAGAACAAATGCTTTGCAATTTCACATGGCCCCTCAGCACTCACCCATGATGCGACTTCACAGGCTGACCCCAAAATACTTTCAGGTCTGTGTTTGTAAACTCCTGCCTCCAGAGGGACTCCCCACCCAGCCACAGCTCCGGGAGCTGGAGGGGGAATGGAGGCACGGAGCACCCAGGGCACTGCAGCACCATGGAGAGTCAGGCAGCTTTTTCAGAGGTGGCAAACTGGTATTTCCCCACCAAACCCAGCTGGAGCTCCGGGCATCCCTGGCTAGGGGGCTCTGCCTGCACCCAACCACCCAATGCCTGGCCCACGCTCTCCCCGTTGCTCTTTTCCTTTTGTAAGCACAGTTCTTCTGTTCACTTAATCAAATCATGGAATAGTCTGGGATGACCTTTAAATGTCTCTTTTCCTCCCTTCTTTTGCATTCCAGCAAGGAAAAAAAAAAAAGATAAGGTATAAAGCAAGTTAGGAAAAAAAAGCCCCATAATAATCCAACCAAAAGTGACCGCTTTAAAAAAATTTAAGCTTTTTAAATGGAAAAGTAATTCCTCTACAGAAGAAGTTTTCATCTAATTTTTTTCCAGACAGGCAACAAGAATTTTAGTGAAAACTTCCATTTATTTTTGTCCAAATATATTTATATTTGCTGAACCACTGCCAGCACCTGAGGGAACCCCACACAGCTGCAAGCACCCCATCCCACCCTCCACACTGGGGGGGGGGACCCCTGCCTCACCCCAAACCTCGGGGTGCACATCCTAACACCAGCCACAGCCAAATCCTGGGAATACAGACACAGCTACCCAAACACTCACTGCAGCAAACCCCTCCTCAGTTCCCACTTAATGTCATTTTTGTCCCTTTCCCTCGTTTTAAGGGACAGGCATTGGCAGGCAGGCGCATCTCCCCCGTGCCCCCACGCACAGATTACACGGGCTGTGGATTTCAATTTTACATCGTCTGGCCTTTCCTAGCCCTGATCACACTTATTAACTAGATGAACCTGTGAGAGATGATGAAAAACTTGGAGTTCAAAAGGAAAAGGTGCAGGGGGGTGGGAGAAAAAATACCGGAAAGTATTAAAAACTCTTTACTAAACATTGGAAGTCAAAGTCAGGTAGTTTCCAATTTTCCGAGCCAACTATGAAAACCCCTATTAAATAAAATAACTAAATAGAAATAAAAAGTGGCATTTGGCTTGCATTCCATCATTACGGTGTGAGTCTGTCCTCTTTTTATTCTCTCTCCTAAAAGCACAGTTCAAATGACAAATAGTTTGTTGCAGTGTATCAATGCCTTCTATTTATCCCTCCCCGCAGGGGGGCTAGTCCTGCAATGTCATCTTTAAAGGGAAGAGAGGGAAAAAAAAGGAGAGGGGGGAGAAGGGGAAAAAAGGGAAGAGTGTGTGGAAAGTGAGAGAGGGAGGGGGGAAGAAAGAAGCAAGAAAAACGGGGCAAGAAGAGAAGAAATTGGAAGCAAATGGTCCATGAAGTAAACCATGATGCAGAGCTATCGATGCCGCAAATGGTTTATTCATCCGGCTGATATTGTTGTGCCCGGGACTGAATGAACTCTTTCAGAGTGCCATATGAAGTTAAAGCAAGTAAATTTCTATCTTTCTCCACATTAGCTGCCTCATTGCCCTTCAATCGGGCCTCACAGAGGCAGAAAATAGCTCAACCATCTGCTTTCAAATCCCTGCGTTTGGCAGGTCCCGGGGCTTTGGGGAGGGGAGCCCGCCGTGCCTGGCACCCCGGATCTTGCCACGGCCACCTTGTGCCCGGCACGGCTTCCTGGGCAGGGACGGGGACAGCGTGGACGGGGACAGCGGGGACGGGGACAGCGGGGACGGGGACAGCGGGGACGCCGCGCTCCGGGAAGCCACCTCCCAGCGCTGTCACAGGGTGAGGTGCCCGAGCAGAGGATGCTCGGGGATGGGGTCAGGGCACTGCCCAGCCCCGTTTGGGAAGGGAACGGCCTTGGCAGAGCCAGGGGAGTGCGGGAGGAGAGGAGAGGCGCCGGCTGGGTCAGTCCCGGGCCACCTTCAGCTAAAGCCGTGAACAGCCATCCCAGTGCCACCCGCTCTCCGTGAGGACACCCCACGGGAACCTGGCGAAGCCTGACCCCCAGACACCCCTCTGGAGGGCACCAGAGGAGGAGCGGGACCCCCTCTCCACCTTCCCCTTCCTCCCTCCGGGCCGCAGGCACGCGTCAGCCCCGCTGCGGGAGCCGGCTGCGGGCACGGAGCTGCGGCGGCGCCGCTCCCTCTGCGCCTGCCTTCCCCTCCTCTCGCCGGGCTGTCTAATTAGCGCTGATGGATAGTTTAAATAGATAGTTTAAATAGCTAGTTTAAATAGCGGCCGGGCGCGGTGACCCGCTGGAGCGTGAACGGCGCCGGCAGGACCGCGGGCTCGGCTCGGAGTGGCCGGAGATGTGGCGCTGTCACCAAGCCCCTGTTGGTAGCCAGAGCTGGTGGCCCCATGGGTGCCCAACACCACCCATCCAAAGGGAGGTTCTACCCCACACCCCCATGGGGAGCGGGCTGGCACAGCGAGCTGCGGGTGCAGGCAGGGGACGCCGAAACTTTGCCATCCGCCACCAGCTCTGACTCTCACCGGCGCCGCGTGTGTCTAATTGCTCCTTTAGCGCTGCCCCGCGACACTGTCCCCTCCGCTGTCACCCTGAACTGTCCCTTCCCCTGCTCAGGCTGGCGGCAATGTGCCGGGGCGGCGGCGGAGCCTCCCCCCACACACACGGACGGGCCCCGCCGTGAAATTTCCAATTAGGCTGCAAACACACGAGACGCCCCCGGCCCCGTGGCCGCCGTGCTGGCTGGCAGGGCGGCCGTGATCGATTACCTTGGGGTTCTCCAGGATCCCGGCTTCGTAGCTGCAACAGGCAGGGGAGGAGAGAGAGGTCGCTGCAGCACCTGTAACTTGTAACCCCAAAACCCACCCTATGGGATGAGACCCCCTCTGCTCCCACCCACCCCATGAGGATGGGCATTATGAACACGTCAGGGATTTCCAGAGCATTTTAGCAGCAGCTCTGAAAGGAGAGCCGGGCTCAGGAGGGTCCGGGAGACGAATGTGGACAACCAGATAGAAAGGGAGGGTGGAGGATTTGGGGTCACCCGTGGTTAGCATGTGGTGGGGCAGCCTGGGATGTGCAAAGGGCTGTTCTGGACATGAAGGTTGGAGGGGATTGGGGCTCCAGATCGCAGGTCTTCACCTCATAGGAGCTCCCCACCTGCCCAGCTCCTCACCTGATGTGCATTAGGTTCTCATCCATGCTCCAGGGTGTCTGGGGTGTCACAGGCACTGGGATCCCATGTTTCTGCCACAAAAGGGAGAGTGGGGGTAAGACAGCCTGTTGGGGAAGCCAAGGCTCATCCATGCTGGTTCCCAGCGGGATCAGCCCCAAAAGCACAAAGGCACAACCCATGGCGACCGGCAGGGCAGCACAGCGAGGTGGACTCCCATGTCTCTGAGCAACATCAGCTCCCACCAGAAAGGCCACCTCAGCAGGGACATCAGGGACACAGTGTGGCTGGGCTGGAGGAGAATGGCCATCCCAGCTCTGCCACAGGCTGGGAAGGAGTTCCAGAGCAGCCTGTGAACCCCAGAGGTGGGGACACCAGCACAGATGTTGTCTGCTTTTCCTAGCTCTGGGGCCAGGGTGGTGCAATGCTCTCAGGTGGGATTGTTGGGATGTTCTTTGCAGGACCAGGAGCTGAACTCAATGACCCTGTGGGTCCCTTCCAATTAAAAATGTTCCATGATTCTATGATTCCCCCCATCCAGGCTTCTCAGCAAGGGGAGGTGACACAGGGATCTGAGTCCCCAGACCCACAGGATGCTCCAGACCCTAAAGAGGACAAATGCTCCATCATGAGGGGACAGCAGCACATCCTCACAGCCTCGTGCAAACACATGGTGAAGCAGACACACCCCAAGCAGGCTCAGTGTCCCTCTGAGCCCGGGCACCTCGAGCACACCGTGCCCAGGGACGTGTGGCCCCACAGCAGCTGCCAGCCCAGCACGACTGCAGCACCGAGCCTGGCTGCCTAACGAGGTCACCAGCGTGCCATTTATCCCCTGACATTTCAATGGGGGAAATTGCCTGTGAAAACGAGGTGAATACATGGGGGAATTAGCAGGAGAGGTGACAGCAGCAGGCTGACAACTGGAGCCAGTGGGGACGTCACCCACGCTGCTGGGACACCGAGCCACAGTGTGGCTGTGGGATGGCCATGGCAAGAAAAGGATGGGGACAGTGGCTCCCACTGAGCCTTGATGTGTCTGTACAGCCTGTGCACTGCTGGGCAGCTCTGGCATTTCAGTGTCACCACAGCAGGGACATCAGTCAGGGCTCAGCTGGGGACAGAGGAGCAAAGGCTGAGTGGACGCTTCTCGTTTGCCAGGAACAGGGGAGGGAAATGCTTGTGGTTGTTGCACCACAGCCCTCAAACCATCACCTGAGGTGGGAACAAGGTTCTGAGATCTCCTAATGCTGCAGAGGGACTGACTCACAGCCCTGCTCCTGGGGGGACACGGCCTCAGGCTCGTGGGTTCTGATTTCCTGGTTCCCCACAATAATTCCAGCATAGGGCCTGCTGAGACCCCCCATTATCCAATCTAGACCTCCTCTGGCATAACTTTAGGCCATTTCCTCTTGCCCTATCTTGTATTTGTGAGAAGAGACCCACCACTGGCACACCCATCTCACCTGGAGTGTACAAATCCATCTTTCAGACCTGAATGACCAGTGACCTCGCTTGTGCCCTCAGCCAGCCCTCTCCTGCCTCTGCCTCCTCCTGGCAGCTGGGCAAGCCAGTCCTCCCCAGCCCATCCTCACCCCATTCCAAAGAGGATCCTCCAAGTCCAGACCAAATATCTACAGAGCCTGGGCAGCCTTTGCAGGAGCCCAAGAGGGATTTTGTTCCCAGCCTCACCTGGCTCTGCCTGTGGCAGCATCCAGGAGGGTTTGGCCATTCTCATTCAGGTGTGTGGAATGAAGCAGCCCCTGGCACAGATGTGCTGCCAGAGCAAGGCTGAACTCAGCCCCTGGGCAGCAAATCCATGGAAAGAGCTGTGCCACAGTGAAACAGAGCCTCACTTTCCCTGGCACCAATGGAGCCCCAAACATCATCATTTTCCAATTCCCCCAGCACCAAGGTGAGCACACATGTGTGCTCAAAGGACCTGGCCATGCATCTCCCTCTCCTCAGGATGAAAAAGAAGGGAAACCACCTTTTTTTTTTTGTAACAGATAACCAAAGACTGAAAAGTACTTAAACCCTCACCCCACAACCTTTTGCTCTTGGAATGGGGCCCCAAACCATTTCATTCCCCTTTTCCCCCTCCACTTCCAACCAAACAAAACAATCCCCACAACCAAACAAAACCCCCAAACCCAAAACACATGTTCCATTTTCCATATAATAAAACCGTGGTGCTCTTAATAACTCCCCTATTTGACAATTTGTTTGGCAACATATGGAAAGCTCTTGTAAACTCTCCCCTTCATAATACAACGGCAGATGGCAAACACAATCCTCAACACGCCGCTCTCTCCTGGCGGCCCTAATGGGCTCGGAGGGCTCCTCACCCCACGCCACATCCCTCCAGCTCCACACCTCGCCTTCCCACAGATTGCCCAGGCAGCTTCGGTGGCAGCTATTTAAAAACTGAAGCAATTTTCTGGTTTATGCACAGAGCTGCACTTTTCCCTTTTGATTGATTGAGCCGAGTTGTCAAGCATTTCCATGAAGTCGCTGAGAAAGAAAGGTACCCTGGTGGGCACATAAAAACCTGATGCAAAACTTCTAATATGTTTTATTGTAACTTGTACTTCAAAAAGGAAGGGACAACAAAGGTGAATGTATTTGCTTTGTCTGTTACACAAGTCAGTGAGCTGGGACCTGTTTCTTTGGAAAGCAGGTTACAACTAATAGCCAGGTAATTATGGGGCTTTTAGAAAGGAAGGAGGAAGAAAAAAATAGAGGAAAGGGGGGTGGGGGGACTCTGACCAGGAAGCTCCTAAGTGGTGCTGCAGGGATGTTGTGCAGGGTGTGCTGCTGGCACCTGCCAGGTCATGGTAAGCATCCTCTGGAGCATCCCATGGTCACTCCAAGAATCCCACGGCTACCCTGAGCTTTCATAACCACTCTGAGCACATCTGCTGCCCTGGGCATCTTGTGGCTACCTCACAGCATCTCCTACCTTGGCATAATCCATCAGCTCAGGGCGTCCAGGAAAGCGCTGGTAAAACTCGGGCAGCCTCCACGGCGCGACAACCTGGCAGGAGAGCAGGAGCATGAGATGAGCAGCCCCCTGCCCTCTCGTAGCCCCCGGCCCCCCTCTGCCCCTGGGAGCCAAGACCCACAGGGTGCTGGTCCCCCAGCTGAAATTTAATCTCCCAGCACAAGGTGGGAGTAAACCAAAGCCTGACCCTAACCAGGCACTGGATGCAAAGGGAAACAGGCAGCATCGATTATCCAGCAGCTGCCTTGATACTGTTTCCTCTGTGGCCTCGTGGTGTTTGGGGTAAAAATAGGTCAATTAAGGATCATTACAGCCCCCTGAAATGCCAAAACGTCGCTGCGTGCAGCTGGTGGCTTGTTAAAGTGAGGCAGGGCCGTTTGCATGGGTGTTAAAACAGAATTCCCACCAGCTGCAGAGGGGCTGGGAGCCCGGCAGTGGGGAGGCAGGGTATTTGGGTTTTGGGTGCCTTACCTTGATCTTGGGACACAGGGCATAGCAGCTGAGCTCAAACCGAACCTGGTCATTGCCCTGGAACAGGAAAAGGGAGGTGCTGAGGGGTCACCCCAGCCAAACCAGGGGTGACAACACACTCTCAGCTTCTGAAGAGCTGCTTGGCTCCACTCCCAGCTCCCCTGGTGGTGTTGGAACCTTGGGCACAGAGGGCAAGGATCCTCTGCCCCATGGGATCATTCCTGGTCCATCTCCACGGCTGGTTTGAACCCCAAGCCACCTTTCCTGTAGCTCCTGATAGCTGTGTGTTCAAACCAGATTCGGGCATTTTTTCTCCCAAAGATCTCAAAGGACAAAGAAGGAAGAGGGCAAGGTGGGGGTAAGACCACAGTGAGCAGCGGGATGCAGCAGCTCATAACTAAATAGCTCAGAACCTCACTTTACCTTAATTGGCCCTTGCTGATTAGATCCCACTAATGAGTCCAGGTAACTGGGAAGGGGCAAGGAGCAGTAGGAAGGCTGGGAATTACGAGCACTTCCGAGGGAATAGCACTCACTGAAACCTATTTTCCACCCTCAGCAAGGGGTGTAAGGACCCCCAGCTCCCTGCCATGGGCCTGGAGGATACATTTACCCCGGGCTGGGCATTCCCAGAGGACTATTACACACAGGCAAGTCCATCCAGCCGAGCTCCCCTTTCCCTCACGGCCCAGAGCTCTGTCCATCTGCTCGGCAGCGGGGACACCCCAGATGGTCCCATTTAAAGCTCCGCAGCCGGGTCGAGTTACCGGCAGTCAGTCCCTGCCTGTGCCCGCGGCTTAATGGCTTGGGGAGTGCAGTCACCGAGGGTGCTGCTGCCAGCAGGGATGGCTGGTGGCATCTGGGAGCAGAGGGGACAGCATGGCACTGAGGGTGTGTCACTCCAGGGCGCCTTTGAGCAGGAGCTTTCAAGGAAACCTTGCTGGGGATGGATAAGATGGGACAGAAAGGGGTGCAGGGACCCAGCAGGAGAGAGAGTAATTCTGGTTATTTAACCCCCCAGTTTCCCCTCTGCCCCATCTCCTGGGTGCTGGCAAGTTGCTCGGCAGTCTCCTGGCTGCGTTTAACATCCCCTTTCTAGCAGAGTCTAGGGACCCCCAAACCCACTGCGATCCCCCCAGGGAGTCACCTCACCTTAGCCCAAGGCACGGGAAGAGGAGAAGGAGGCACCCGGCAGGTCCTGGTTCACCCACTGAGCCCTCACCTGCCCCAGGTGTCCCCGCCCCGGGCGGGGCAGCGGCCGGAGGGGGCCCACGGTCACATCTCGCAGGTCCCACGCTCCCCGAGGGGGATTCCCCCTGTCCGGGAAGGGGCTGGCTCCGAGCATCCCTTTTCCACGGTCTCTGGCTGCCTCTAGCGGCAAAGTGTCCTCCCTGCGGCCAGCGGGGACGGGGACAGCCGGGATAGGGACAGGAATGGGGACAGCGGCCGGGAGAGCCGGGAATGGGGACAGGAACAGGGATAGATTCTGGGACAGTCGCACCTATTCCAGGACGCCCCTAACCTCGCCGGGTTGTGCTGGTTCAGTCTCAGCCGGCTCCTGGCCCGGGAAGCCTCAGCATTTTGAAATTGCTGCCAGACACGGAGTGCTCAGCTGTGACTCCAGCCTTCCCGACAGCCAGACGGAACCGAAATTGGGCACAGAAATCCCAGAAGCGAGGAAGGAAGTGTCGAAACACGGCTGAGTTTTGCACAGTCCCCACAAAACACCCACGCAGACTGACCAGCTCCCCCACGCCAGCACCTTGAGCCGTCCCTGCCCGGTGGCCGTGTCCCCCTCACCTTGCCCGTGGCCCCGTGGGCGACATGCTGGGCTCCCTCTTGCTGGGCGATGGCCACGAGCCCGCGGGCGATGCAGGGCCGTGCCAGGGCTGTGCCCAGCAGGTAGCGATCCTCGTAGAGCGCGTTGGCCTGGACTGCCGGCCAGATGAACTTCTCCACGAACTCCCGGCTGACGTCCTCGATGTAAACCTGCCAGCAGAGGGACTCTGATGGAAGGGCTGCTGCGGGGGAAACCCGCTCCTCTGGAGCTTTAGGAGCAGCGCAGCAAAAAGTCTCTTCGCCTCTCTTTTCCTTTATGTCACTAAAAGGATTTGGGGTAAAACCTCTGGAGGAGGGATTGCTCATTGGCACAATCCCCTCTCTGGGGTGTGTGAGACCCCAGGGTTCACCCCCGTGGTGGGGAACAAGGGGAGGGACGCTGTTACCTTCTTGGCCCCCAGTGCCAGAGCTTTCTTTCGTGCTGCCTCAAAATCTTCCTTCTGCCCAATGTTGGCCTGGAAAGCGGTGGAAAAAAGACTCGCTGTGAAACTAGGCCACAAAACCCAGAGCAAGCCCAGTTTGGCACAGGGCATTGTGCATGGCTTGACAGAGTCCGTGGTGGCCGGGCTTGAGGACAGCCAGGATGGGCAGGAGGAGAGTTCCACCCCTTGCGGTGGATGTCTCAGGGCCATGCCCTGCTCTGCCAAGCCCCTTGGCTCTGCCCTGATTCCCTGCCTTCATTAGCAGAGGGTCATTAGCTGGCGGGGACAAGCTGTGCCACACAGGGCTGGCACTCAGCAGAGCAGAAGTGAGCTGAGCCATGGTTAACCCGTGTGAGCAGGGTCACCACCACAGCACACACACAACAGGACCCCCACTGCTCACTCAAGCCCCCCCAGACCAATGGCCCGGCACCCCCAGTCCCCAGGGACAGGGTTCCTGTGACAGGGCTCAGTGCAGGGCTCACCAGGTAGGCGACGACGTCGTAGCCCTGCTCCTTCAGCCACACCAGGATGCAGGAGGTGTCGAGCCCCCCGCTGTAAGCCAGGACCACTGTGCCCTTGGAATGAGCCATGGTGCTGCCAAAGAAAAGGAAAAGGGGGTCATGAAGCCCCTGCCCTTACTGCAGTCAGCAGCCACAGCACCAGGAAACTGAAGCAAGAGCCCTCCCAGGCTGCAGGGAGCCAGGGCAGGGCTGGGGGCGAGAGGAAAAGCCACAGCCCTGTGACCACGGCCAGGTTGTGGCTCTCAGCCAGGGAGGACACCCTGCCTGTGCACCAACCTGTGCACCCTGAGGTGGCTGGACAACAGAGGAGCCCAGGGCAGCCACGAGGGTGGTTTTGCTCTTACCTTTTCTGCACGCTGGCAGCCCCAGCACAGCCTGCCCCACGCTCTGCACGTGCTCTGCAATGCTGGGGAGCCGGGCTCAGGCGCAGGCGCCCGGCCGTGGCAGAGGCACAGCTCAATCCTTGCTCTGGCACAACCCAGCACGTCCCAGCCCTCTGCAGAGCTGCCACAGGCTCAGCTCCCAGTGCCCATCAGGACAGCAACGGCTGGGGGGCTTGGCAGCATCCCCTAGAGCCCAGCCCAGCCCCGAGTCTAATTAATGCTTACGGGGCATTTGTTCTAATTGTGCTGCACAACTGTGTTTTCTGCCAGCACCAAACACCTGAGTGGGGATTCAGAACCCTTCACCCTCCAGCCAAGGATATCCAGGACTTCAGCCAAAACGGGAGGTGGTGAAGGACTCAGCAGCCTGGATCTCAGGTGTGGGCTGGGTGTCCCGGGCAGGAAGGGGCTCCAGACTGTCCCTGCAGTCCCCGGGCCAGGCTGTGGATCCCAGGGCCCCACGAAGGGTCGATGCCAGCTGACCCTTGGCCGGGGGAGGCGGGCACGGAGGCGGCCAAGCCCTGTCCTGAACAACTTTCACACTGCTGCTGCCAAGCCAGCACAATCCTGCTCCTGCAGGCCGGGAAGGCGCCGTGCCTGCCGCTCCGGGCTGCTCTCCCGCCGGGATGCGGTTATCCCGGGGTGTGCCCCAGCACCAGCGCGCTGCCAGCGCCGTGCGGAGCCAGCGTCCCGCGGGGCGAGGCTCGGAGCCAGCTCTGCCCTGCTTCTGCCGGCTTCTTGCTGAGCAACAAAGGGGTCTGGCAGCTCCGTACCCTTCCCTCGGCTCCCCGAGCCTGCCCGTGCCCGTCGGGCTGTCACGCAGGCAGCACCGGTGCCCAGGCTTGTGCAAGCTGCATTTCCCTGCTCGTGGCTGTGCCCACAGCTGGGTCCCTGCCCAGCGAGCTCCAGCCATCCCTTCCTCACCGGGGCATTTACAGGAAAGCACTCGCAGTTCCCCAAACGGCCCAGCCCAGCCCTGACGCTGCGCCTGCGGCTCCTTTGGAGACAGCTTCCCTCCTTTAGTGCCAAACTCATTCTCGCCGTGGCCACCAGCATCGCAGCTGCGGCTGCCAGCCTGAGTAAGCACCTCCGAGACCAGGCACACTCGCTCTGCAAGCGGCCCAGGGAAATGCCTCCAACTTTTGCCTGCTCAGACGCGTCCCATGTCGCAATGCCCGAGGGGCCTGGGGGCACTTTGTCCTGGAGTCGCATCCTGCATCCCAGATTGGGGGTGGCTCCAGCGGCGTTCCCGGCTCTGGAAGCAAGGCTCGTGCCAAACCCGCCTGCCCAGGAAGGGAGAGCCCCGAAGTTCCAACATTCTGTGGCAATAACTCAGAGCAAACAAAGCTCGCTGGAGGGGAACGCGGCGGGACTTTCTCAGCCCTTATTATTATTCTGTAGCAATTTCCGTGTGAGCTGGGGCAGGGATTTTACTGGAGAGAACTGGGGCTGCCCCGAGCCAAAGGAACGCCGCGCTTTCTGTTTTAAAACCAAGAAACAAATAGAAAGAGGGAGGAGAATAAAAAGCCTGAAATTTTGGTGAAGAGAAGAACTGTCTGTGCCAGGTGGGCTGCTGCCTGTGGGCTGGGATGGAGCAGGCAGGAAAGGCAGGGACAGGCAGGAGGGGCAAGGACAGGGGCAAAGGCAGGCAGGGGGGACAGGAACAGCCTTTCCAACAGCACAGGCATGTGCTCAGTGCTGCTGGGGTTTTTTTTCGGCATCACTCCTCCACCTCGTGGAGGTCCCATCCTGCCCCCCAAAATCCCCAGAGCAGAGAGGGCACGAGGTGGTACCGGCTGAGGTCTCAGTTCCCCTCCCTGAGTTGGCCAAGGGGATCCTCAGGGGAACGGGATTCACTTGGGAACTCCTCACCCATCCCAAACTGAGCTAGGAAGGGCTTGACTGCAGTCTGCACCCCACTGCCCTGCTCCAGCACCCAGGGGTGAGGGACACCCGTGGGTGGGTGGAAATGGGACAGACAAGACGAGGGGACATCCCCCAAGGCAAAGGCCCCCCTTTCCCCTCTCTCCCCACGCCGTGCCCACACTCACGCACTCCCGGTGTCCGGCTGCCCTCGGTGCTCTGGTCCGGTGCCTGGAGCATCCTCCCCCTGCTCCTGCTCCTTTATCCCGGGCGCAGGCGGGCGGAGCCGCCGCAGGACAGTGCCCCCGGGCACGGCCCCGGGAGAGGCCCTGCGCTCCTCCTGCCCCGCAGAACAGGGGGAGAGGCTGTCCCCGGGCGGGGATGGAACCAGTGCCCGGCTCCAACCCCTGCATGGCTGCTCTGGGTGCTGCCGCAGCTCTCCCCCCACTCCAGACCTCCTCAGCAACCTCCACAGAGCACCCACGGGTGTCATCGCCCCTGGGGAGCTCCACCGAGTCACCCACCCCTGAGGAGTGGGAAAATGGGGGCAGAGGAGGGATGGTGCTGACTTTCCATCCAGAGTAGCAAGAAGGGGGAAAGTTGGATTTATTTGAACCTCCATCAGGAGGTAATGCAGGAGCCAAGGTAGGCAGGAGGGGACAGGGCTGTCCATGAGGCCAAACTCACCGTTTCCCCCTCACACACCCTCAGAGCACCCCAGACCCGGCTTTGGAGGACAGGAAAGCTCCATCCCAAAGGACAGAGATTTTTAGGGCAGTCTCAGAGAGGTGCAGCAGGAGCCAGCTCCAGTGACAGGATCTGGCCATGGAAGGTGCACAGCCACCATCATGGCCCAGCCCTGGTGGCTGTGGGCTCGTGTCTCCTGGGGCCAGCAGCCCACATCCCACAGCATCAGCTAGGACTGAAACAGTGTTTTGGGAGCGGCCTCCATCTTCACCATGTGCAGAGAGGTCATGTCCTGCTCTTGCTGCTTGAGGGGCTTGACACCGAGGCAGGATTGGACCTTCAGGGGCTGGACATTGTCCTTCTGGCATTGCTACATCCAGACAACCTCCCTTTTATGGTCCAAGGTCAGGCAGGGAGGTGTCCAAAGCCCTGGGAATTCTCCCACACACTGAAGGAAGCTGCCTTCTTCAGGCACAGCTAATATTTAGCCACAAAACATAAATAAATAAGAGTGCACAGAGACCAAGTGGATTAAAAAAAAAAAAAAAACTATTTCAATTTAATAATGGTTAATTCTGGGGTGCCCCACACCCTCCCCAGCCCAGGGAATCCCTCCCTGCACCCTGGTGGGTGCCACTGTCACCCAGTTCATCTTCCCACCCCCCGCATTTGGGGACTGATAGCAGCCAAGGCCATCCAGAGCTGTGTTTGTTCTGGGATCTGGGACCTGATTGCAGCAGGTTGGTGGGACATGTCATCCCCCACAGATCCTGACTCTCCTGCTGAGTCAGGGCCCGGCCTGGCTGAAAGGAGCACAGCTGGGAGGAGAGGGGGTGTCTGGGAGGGACAGAAGAGGTACAAGCTCAGCGTTCCCTGAGCCTCGTGCCCCACCGATGGGGTGGGGAGGGACAGGAGGAGAAGTGACCCTGCGTCCCCTCCTGTCCCTGGGCTGTGTCAGTAAGGGTAGGGCGAGACAGAGATGAGGAGGAGGAAGATGCTGGGTGCTCGCTGCCCGCCTGGCACCAGCGCCTGCACCTTGAGCCGGTGGGTGCTGGGCTCCCGCAGCGGCCGCAGGGTGGAGATGATGCCCTGGCCCTGCTCGCTGCGGAGGGCGAAGGGGCTCTCAGGGTCTTGCTCCAGCAGCCTGAAGACGGTGTGGTGGCGCAGGGCTGAGGCTGGGGTGAGGTGCACCACGTCCCGGCGGGCAGCGATGCCGAGGGGCAGGGCGAGCAGCTGGTACTGCAGCGTGGGGGGACCGGCCGGGCCGCAGAACGGGGGGCAGCGACCCACGCACAGCCTGCATGAGAGATGGGCAGTGTGGGATGTGGTGGGTGCCGGGGAGGGGACGGGACACCCGGGGTCGTGGTGAGATGGGCAGAGCGGGACGGGCACTCCCAGCCCCACAGCACGAACTCACCCTGGGCTGGAGCCTCTCCGGTACCCAGCTGGGCACGGCACATCTGTGCACCGGGCACCTCCACGGGTATTGAAGCACATCTGGCTCATGCCACACTGGATTGTGCCCTCCGTGCACTCATCCACATCTGCAGGGAGAGAGGGGACAGGTCTGAGGGTGCTGGGGTGGCTGAGACGGGGGTTCAATCCCCCATCCTCCCACATCTGCCTGGACACTAAGGCAGTGAGACAGGAACTCAGACTGTGGAGAGCTGAGGCTGGGAGCACCCATCCCGAGATAGGAGAAAGACTTGCAGCACCCAGGGCACCGTGGGGACGGGGCATGCCCTGGCACCGTGCACTGACCGTGGCAGCTCTTCCTGTTGGACAGCAGGCGGTAGCCAGTGGGGCAGAGGCAGCGGTAGCTGCCCGGGCTGTTCCTGCACTCGTGCTGGCACTGCTTCAGTGTCTGACACTCGTCGAGATCTGTGGGATGAGAGGGGTGAAGGCAAGAGGGGAGGATCAGTCCCCTCTGGTGCCACTGCCTTGGGCCAGCCTGGCTCTCACCTCCCCTTCCCAGCAGAGCAAAGACCACAGGGCGCAAACAAAGTGGTGGACAGGGCAGCAAGAAGGACACGAGGTACATTTTGGGGACAAAGTACTCTCTGAACTCCCTTCAACACCCTTCCCCAGAGCATGCTCACCGGTGCAGGTGCCATTCCTCCTGATGTAGCCCGTGGGGCAGGGGGGGCCCCGGGCACCCATCCCTGCATCCTTGGCCACGCGGCGCAGGGCGAGCTGGGTGTAGAAGGATCGTCCCCGTCCCCGTGGGTGGCCGCTCGGCCCCTGCCGGTGCAGGGGAGTGTCCCGGGGCACCGCTGTGTCCCCTCCCTCCATCCCGGCTGTGCCACACTGCCCACCCGGCAGCACGGCCTTGCCAGCGGGGCACAGGCACTCGTAGGAGCCCCGCAGGTTGTGGCACTCGAAGGCGCACGGTGGGGGGAAATTCAGGCACTCGTTGACGTCTAGGGGAGGAAAGAGGTGGGGAGCTGCAGCTGGGTGGGAGAACCTGAGGCTGGAACAGGGCAGGGGGGGTGACCAGGGACCCTGAGAGCCCAGCTCGTACCCAGGCATGGCCAGCCAGTGCCCAGCGTGCGGTAGCCGGGAGGGCAGGAGCAGCTGTAGGACCCGGCAGAGTTCTGGCAGATCTGGTTGTAGCGGCAGGCATGGGACCCCTCGGTGCATTCATCAACATCTGGGGAGCAGAGAGAGGACAGGGTTGGGGGGGTGGCAAGTGGCACCAGGTGCCTCTTGCTGCCCCCATGCCCCTCAGGAAGGTCCGTACCCATGCAGTACAGCTGCCCAGGGTCTGGGATGAACCCCAGTGGGCACTGGTCTCTATCAGCACCTGTGAATTGAGCAGAGAAAATGTCACATGTTGCTGCAGGGACATGGCCTTTGCACCCTCACAGACACCCAGAACAACAGATCTGCATCCCCAAGCTGGGGACTCCCCTGGTTACCCGCATCAAGCGAGGCTCGGAGCTGGAAGCGGAGCTCCTGTTTGGCGGGGTCATAGGAGGCTGAGATGGCTCTGGCCCGGAGGTGCTGCACCCGGGGGGGCTGTGTGCCCACGGGGGGGTCGAACACGATGGTGTGATTGCAGTGGGCACGGACGAGGCGCCCGTCCTGCAGGAAGCTCTGCACTGAACCCCCGGAGAGCTGCCCCGCGCCCGTCCGCACGTAGCGCTCGCTGAAATCCTGGGGAGAGGCAGGGCCGGGGTCAGGCCACGGACCCCCTGTGCTCCCGGCATGGGAGCTGTGGCCCCATGGGAATAAGGAGCAGTGGCAGCACCCGCAGCAGCAGCACGGCGTGGCCGAAGCTCTCCGGCACGGAGCCGCTGATGACGCTGTCCAGCCGCAGAGCGCCGGCGCTGCCCGTGCCCCGGGCCTGGTGGGTGACCCGCAGGAGCTCCCCTGCAAGGGGGGGACAGTGGTCAGCACCCCACAGCACCCCCACACACAGCTCCGCTGCTGGATCAGCGATGGTGCCTAGGGGAGAGGGAGGCTGAGCTTCCCCAGGAGCTGAGCAGGCTCACACACCCCTCACCTGTGGCAAAGTGCAGCAGTGACTCGTGCTGGAAGGTGCCCTGCGTGAGCAGGAGGCCGTTCTGGGCTGCCCCGCCGGTGTGTGCCAAGGACCAGTAAACGGGGGCGATGATGGTCACCAACACCCGCATCAGCGGCCCTGGGAATGGGGAAGGAAGGTTTGCTTTTAGGGGGAAAAAAAGACATAAAGACCTTTTCCTTAAGATTTACATCTGACAGAGGTCAAAACTCTCACAAGGGTGAGGGTAGAAATGTCCACCCACCTATGGCAGGTGGAATGCTCCCAATGCTGCTCCGGAGGGTGGCGGTGCTGGATTGAGAGTCACCCAGCACGCTGGCATCAAGGGTGGAGACACCGAGCTTGTGGCCATTGATGGCACCGACCAGGCTGCCCCGCACCTGGTGCAGCTCCCCTGGGCAAATGGGATGGGGTCAGGAAGCAACACTGGGACTGCACTCCCTTTCCTTACTCCCCTCTTACTAATTTGTATGTCAAAAAAGTCTTGTTTTCTGGAGGTGAAAGCAGCCAGAGCAAGGCAGGCAGTGTCCCTGCCTGGCTGCAGCACAGTCCCCAGAGACCCCATGGCTCCAGGCACGGTGCCATTTTGACAGGGGATGTTGAGAGTGTGGCCCTGTGCCTCATCACACCAACAGGCACTGACACCCCCAAACCCTGCTCTGTATCAACCTCAAGGTCCTGGCATAGCCCCAGGCTTTTATTTGCTTCTCCAGCGTGCCTGGCAGCGAAATGCCACCAGCCACACAAGGGCACTTGGCACTTCCTCCAGCCTGGGTCTCTGCTCCCGAGGGGCAGCAGGAGAGGATGTGTCTGTGCATTCAGCAGGGCCCCTGGGAGAGAGGAATTTAATCATGGGCAATTCAGGCAGGAAGGCCGAGGAGAGGCAAGTGAGGGCTGGCACGCGGTGGCTGCTGGGGACAGGACCTGCCTGGGCTCAGGCTCAGCTGAGCAGGGCACGGGAGGGGAGCACAAAGCAGAGTATGAACCACGGCGGGTAGAACAAGCAAGGCAATGTCC